GCAAGGGCTGCAGGAGCAGCTCTCAACATCAGAAGCCGGTGGGTGCAAGCAACCGGCATTTCCAGCTCTCAGACCAGGTCCCTGTGCTGCTCCCATCAGCAACTAATAGGGATCTCTGAGAAAGAAGGGGGGGCAATGCCCTGGATGTGCAAAGACAAGCTTTAAAAAATGTGAAGTTTCTGGGAGGCACAGGTGCTTTAAACAGGCTATGTTCATAGGTGTATCAGCCCTACGAAGCCACACTGAAAGATAATAAGAGGGCTTTTAAGTCGGATTCTGAAGAAGTGGTGGTTTAGGGACAATAAAACATTAATGTTATGCCCCATATCCAACCCTGCAAACCCAGTGTTTCATCGGCCAACAGTCCTGACTGCCCCCAAAACTTTCAAAGAAATCCACTCCTGAGCTCGGATGTGGGTCTCATTGGCTTCAGTTTCAACATCTTTCCAGGTTCTTGACGAGGGTTTGGTTTATTAGATGTTCAGGTTAACGCCCATGGGATCAGAGCATTCAGAAAGCAGTGGGATTTCTGTACGTATGGGATTTCATCACTAATACTGCTCCGTTCACTCACAACATCTCAGGGGTGTTTACAAGAGAAATGGGAGGAAGAAGAGATTGTACAAGCACCATGAAGTGGTACAATCATTCACAGAAAGCTGATGAAGAGACCTCCATTTAAATGTTGTGGATGACATTGAAGAGTGAAAAAAAACCACACCAAACCACAGGGATCTTGACATTTCAGTCATCTGGGATCCAAAGCTGCTGATTTTGGGTTCATTCCCAGGTGATGATGGCCCTTCCTACTGCATGTAACCAAACCAGGCACCTATCTATCCTTGCCTATTCTTGGCAATTTTCTGGAGGAAAAGACAGTTTTGTAAAGATGGGAAGCTTCCAGGAGAAATGAGGGAGACAAGAAGAGATCCCAGTTACAAGTTCAGGCAGACAAAATGTATCTCAGAAGGGTATCAGCCATGCCTGCTGCTAAGCAGAGAAGTCAAAGCCCTTTGCAAATGGTGATAGTATTTTCTCCTATTTTACAAGGAACTAAGGAAGATCAATAAAATAAAGATAGAGAAGTCAAAGCTCTTTGCAAATGGTGATAGTATTTTCTCCTATTTTACAAGGAAGTAAGATCAATAAAATAAAGATACCAAGATTTTTCAATACACAGTAACTGCAAAAAAACCCCAGCCAGCCAAAGTGGCTTCTTCTGTTTCTTGTATAGACAAAAAAAAATCACCGTTGCAATTTTTTTCTGCAGAATATCTCTTTCCCCACTCCCACCTAGGATGATTTCCCAGGCATGATACTTGTTGTACACAGACAACACGGTTTTGGAAGCAATAAAAAACAAACCTGAACAAAACCAGTTGATAGATTTAACGTCATGTTTATACAATGCAACCCATCAACATCTCCCACGTGGATACTGATCCTGCGACATCTCTGGATGGATTTTAAAAAGAAGCTGCAGCCAGCTGTGGGCTCAGTACCCCGGGAGCAAGAGCTATTCTGGTGTTGTAATACCCAGCAGCAGTTCATTTCAGGTGAAGCACACAAGCTGTGCACAGAGCATTGTGTTTAGACACTGCAATTAGCAGTGCCGGTCTCTGTGGTTAATTGCTGGCAATCCATCAACAGGATCGTGGTATCTGGGAGCTACCCTGGAAGCTGCCATCTGAACTTCAGACCTTTAAAAGCACACATGGTAACTACAAGCCAAAGCTTATTTACCCACAGTTTCTGAGTTCAGGGTGATAGAGCCCTCTTTAAGATGATGCACTGACATCATAAGAACTTCCTTGCTTGAATAGCTGATGAACCAGCTGTAGTTAGATCAGAAATTGCTTCCTCACACCAGCTACAGAGATTATAATGGTCTGAATCTCAGCAAGACCATTTCTTCTCTTTTATATGTCTTTCATTAAAACAGACATTAAAAATTTAAAAAATGTGAAAGGGGGGTCTTGCCATTAAAGCTGAAGGCGCACAATAGAAAAAGGGATTTTACAGCTGTTCAAGATTTAAAAAGGAGACCAAGTGCGCAGGTTGGGTGCCTTCAGTCCCTCTCCTCCATTCTCAAAAGGTCAGAGGAAAGCAAGAGATAATTACAATTCTAGCAAGCAGTCTCCCCAAAAAATTAGAACTCAAGCTTTACTATTAAAATTCTCATTTTCATGTAAATTTTTAATGTGTAGTAGAAAGCCTGATCTCCATACATTTGGGGGAAAAGGAGAGGAATCATTAGAACTCTGGCTGTTGAGCTGCAGCACAATTCAGAAAACAGTCACAATCGTCAGCAGAAGATTTCAAGGACGATAGGTTGGGTCATAACCCAAATTTAGGTGAAGGCCTTTTAGTCTAGATAGTTTGATCTTTTTAAAAGAAGACAACCATGCTGTAAGCCTACACTAAAAAAGAGTTACCCTTTGAATACCTGCCTTGCTTTCTGATAATTAAAACAGTAGAAACGTAACATGTACATACCCTATTCCTTCCTTCCCAGCTAGCTCTAGATTTTTGCAATACTTAAGACATCTCAAGCATGCCATACCCCTTTTTATAGAAACTGTGCTCAGGAAAACATCTATTGTACTACAATTGCCTCTACTCTGGGTTTGCAGTGGTTGAGTTACTATAAGGTTGGATACACAGCAATACAACAGGTATTACCATCAATATGCCACTGCCTTTGTGTAAAGTAAATAGGCACCTAAGTCATGGTATGGTATTTTCCTGGTTAATCCTTCACAGATAAACCTAAATACTGTGGCTAGATATACATCAGCTGGAGACAATTAGCATATGTAAAACTTCCTATCCTCATCCAATACCTTGGGATCTTAGCAAGTTTTCCCACACACCCCAAAGTCCTCTCATGCAGACCAGAGATCACAAAACCCCAATGCTGGGAGTACCCCGTATGTTGGGGTAAGTGCACCCCACCTTCAGAACTTCGCTCAACTGCAGAGATTGGAGTTTGCAGTACAAGAGGTCCTGAATTTGAGTGATACCACAAAATGCTCTCCCACCCCATCCAGAGAGGCAAAGGGTTGCTAATACCAGGTTGTAGCCTGTAGAAGTTACCTCCTTGCTCAAACAGTCAAGGACTACTTTGCAACTAAACAAAAAAAGAAAAGAAAAAAAGTTTCTCACTCATCTTACACGTAGCCTAGAGCTTATACCCACGCTCTGCAGTACTCAAGCACAAACAGACCTGCCCAACAGAGGACAATTAGCCTTCATTTGCATTTTCCCCCTCCAAATACAGCACTACAACCGCTCATTCCAGCACTAACACCTGCAAGGCACTTTATTGACAGCAAGATGGGAAGACATTCTTCATACCTTGGTTTTGCATAGCCTGTAGCTAATTTTAAACCTCTTGCTCCTGCGACAGCCGTTATCTCCATTTCTCTAGTCAACAAAGTGGAAGTTGAGGCATCATGTAGACCTCAAAAAGACCAATCGGAGACTGGACATATTTTTCAACCTAGATCAGGTACCTTTAAAACACAACAAATTCCTTTCTAGGGCTAGAAAAACAACTGACATTCCAAGCAGAACTGGAAGGCCTCCACTGATATTTTTCGGTAAAAATAAATCCATGCAAGCAGAGCCAGCTTTCACTGAAAAAAATCAAGTCAATGGCAATTTTTCTATGGATTTTTAGCGAAGAAGCATAATGTTCTGGTTCATAAGGCATTCGGAATAAGGCATTTTGAGTATTTAAGTTAGTACGTACACAGATGCCAAGACATTACGTCCTGCTGTTTTCCTGACAAAGTCTTAAAAACCCACCTACACCCTCCGCTACGGATGTGCCCGGGTATTTGCTCAAAGGAAACTTCTGCTGGCCCAGAAGCGGTCACTCAAAGCTGGCCAGACTGAAAGGGGAGGAAAAACAGCACAAGCATTTCTACTTTGAAAAGGGAAATTTGTTTTACACTGCACAAACGCAAGCCACGACTTCTCAATTCACATGGGAGCTCCCAGCCAAGCTGCAGCACCAACAATCAACACAATTCAGAACCAGGAGCATTTTTGGCATGGGATCTGCCACAGAGAAGTGTTTTCTCCTTAACAGCCTCTTTTCCAGAGGAAAAGCACTCCAGAGCCAGGAAGATCCCCAGTTATGGACTTAAAAACAAAACAGAGGCGCTAACTGCCACCAGAGCAAAACTAAGCCCTCAAAAAGCAACAAAAGATCTCCTGGGAGTGTTGCCAAAAGAAACGAGATTTAAGTTCGGCTTTTCTTTTTTCTTCTTTAAGTAGTAAGCACACTGGGGAAAAAAAAAAAAAGATCACAGACAACATGAGAGCACAGGAGGACAGTAATACACAACCATTACCCAGAAGGTGTAATGGAGTGGTTTTGACAGCAGGTTTTTGTCCTCACTTCTTCCTACAAACACATCAGGTCTCACGAGACCCCATCTCACAGCCCCAAACAACAGGGAAGGTGCAAGTCCAGCCCCACTGCCTGGATTCCCTCTGCCAAAGCTCTTTAAAACTGCATTTATCCAAGGGAGGGAAGAACCACCTCTAACATCTCCCCCGTTTATCCCCAGCCAGTTGTCACCTCCTGTTGCCTTCCCCTACCTATAAACTTCTTTTCACGTGCACAGAAGCTAGAGACTCCATAGAAATGCAAGTCCTACACTTTCAGCCAAAGAAACTGCCAGCACACCAGTAAGACACAGAGCTAGGAGCAAAACAGAAGTCTCCCCCAGTACCAAAAGGAAAATAGACAGATTTGGCCAAATCCATCCCACTCAATCCCTTTGAGAACCACGACCAGCTAACCATGACCATCTGCTACGTCAACCACATGGTAAGAACTTCTCGCAGAACTCCAAGCCATGGAGTCAATGGTCTCCATGGTCTATCCAAGCCAACAACAATGAAAAAATCAAATATCCATCACTTTCAACCAAGATCCGCATCCATCCCAAAGTCACTGGGAAGAGGCGATGTGGTCAACTACCCACCTTGGTGGTGTCATCATGTGACCGCTGTGGCGCCAGCCGTAGATCCCCGTCAGACAGGACAGACATAGCTGTGGCTCGTAGTACTGCAGCGGTTGGTGTTTAACCATGCTCCTTCCAGCCCCTCAGGAGCGAGGTATCAGAAATCCATCAGGTCCTGGGAGCGCCCTTCAGCGAGAGGAGAAAATACAAGGGGGTGAAAAAAAGGGAATTAAAAATGCCGAGCAGTATTTCAATACATTAACAAGCCATTTAATAATTAACCATGTCCTCTGGCTATTAAGAGAGGAGGAATGATAATCAGATCTATTCCCAGCCCTGCCAACATCTCCGGCTTGTTACTCAACAAGACCGAGAAGTTTAATTAGTTTGCAAGTTTTATTTCCTTGTGCAGTTTCTCCCACACCACTAAAAGCAAATGTATTCACAGGAGTTATCAGCAAGAAGAGCCACACAAGGACAAGAGCAGTAGGTAGATTATTAGCAGCCCAGATAATTAGATTTTTATGAATGATTGAAATGTAAAGAACCATACCCTCCGCAAGCACAACCTTCAAATTGATTCAGAGACCTTTGCAAAGTTGAAACCCAGCCAAGCTAAATCAGTTTATCTTGAGCATCCTATGGAGTCTGCAAAACAGTTCCAGACGAGGAACTAACGCTTCAGTATGCGCTGGAAAAAGCAGATATTACCCTCTGCTTTTACATGCATCTCCAACAAGCACTCACAGGGATACAGAGATGGTTGCAGCCTTCACCCAGGAGAAAGATCCCCTCTCCACCAAACAGCATTCACTCCCAAAGGGCCAGACTGGCTCCGATGCAACTGCTCTGTTCGCCATAGAATCGTTAAGATTGGAAAGGACCTTTAAGTTCGAGTCCAACCATAAAACTAGCACGGCCAAGCCCACCACTAAACCATGTCCCTAAGCACCACACCTACACGTCTTCTAAACACCCCCAGGGAAGGGGACTCCACCATTCCCCTGGGCAGCCTCTTCCAGTGCTTGACAACCCTTTGGTGAAGAAATTCTCCCTAATTACCCAATCTAACCCTCCCCTGGAGCAACTTGGGGCTGTTTCCTCTTGTCCCATCGTGCGTGGGAACATCACTGTTTCGAGGCAAAGTACTCCGCTCCATCAATTACATGCTTTGTGCGTCACGGGGCTTTTTTTTTATTATTTAGATGCTCACTTTTGTCTCTGCTGAGATTCATATCAAGAACAGACCAAGTAATCGTACGCTCCTACTGATTCATAGAGTCAGCGTTCGGGGATGGGAACCTCAAAGCAAGCATTTGCCGGTCTGGTGGCATCGTGCTGCTCTCAGCTGTACTTAACCCACACCAGGGGTTTTCCACAGGGTCCTGGTGCACAAGTGAACACCCACAGCCCCACACGTTGCTGTTGCATGGATAGTCAGTGCACTGTGAGCGATGTTCAACAGCAGTTGAGCTTGCAAAGCGCTTGGTTACCTTCCCAAGGCGTGCACAGCTGCGTGCACGATACGTGGGCAGTAAGGAAATCGCATCCTCTCTAGGGGAAACGCTTCATTTCCTTATACACAGGATCCCCAGTGCTCAGGTCTTGCAAAAAGCTACGACATCCGTGAGTAGCGACATCCGTGAGTAGCAACATCCTCGCCAGCATCAGCAAAGCATGACAGGGTTAAGGAGATAACCTCGTCACTTAAGAGCCTTTCACTGCCACGTGGCTCAGGTCTTGCAAAAAGCTACGACATCCATGAGTAGCAACATCCTCACCAGCATCAGCAAAGCATGACAGGGCTTAAGGAGATAACCTAGTCACTTAAGACCCTTTCACTGCCACGTCCCATGGAAGAAAGCTTCCAAGAATGGAGTTCACTGTATTTTTCGTTGTAGCCCATGCATAAGGGGATGCTGCAGGCATTGCAAACACTGTGGCAGAGTCTAGAAATGTCAGCGAGGACACAGACAGCTCAACCCTTCCAGCTTCTGTCCTCCTTTGTGCCTGTTTACACTCCGTGCTTCACGCTGATAGCCTCAGACAGCCCTGTCCTGACTTTCTGTAATCAGGACTCAGCATCCTGGAGGCAGACAGATCTTGCTAGTTGGTTGTTGTGGTTTCAAAGCCCACCAGACCGTTACCGTGCTGTCTCCAGAGTCCACAGGTCCTCTGCCTTCCTCTTATACAGACACACAAAACGTAGCTTTATCCTTTCAGCAAACCTCTCTATAACGCTCTGGGCGCTGCTCAAGGCATTGACCCAGGCAGAGGACACGAGATGTGCAAGAGTTGCCTATCAGTTCGTAGCTGGCCCGGATCCCCACGTGGTTTTGTTCATCCCCTCAGGGAGGACGTGCAGGACAGAGGCACAAACACATCCAGTTTGAAATGAGAGCCGTTTGCCGATCGTGTCACCCCATGCTCTCCCAGCTCATCTGCCCCTAAGCGCTGCTGTACCATCTCCATGGCCTCATCCTTGAGGTCACCTCCCCGCCTGCATTTCATCTCTTCTCATGCTATTTATAAAGCTCAGCATTAGTCACTGCACAAGTTGCCTCCTATCTTCAGCTTTTGTCTGCTTCGTGATTGTCCCTACAAAATGAGTTTCCTGGTCTGCCTTCCCCGTGTGCCGGCGGCACGCTGCGGGCAGAAACCACTGTCAGTTAGAATAGGACAGAAACACCGAGGATATGCAAAGTCGGATGCTATTTAAGGGTCTTGGACAAACCCATAATCTCTGCCCTGAAGATGCCAAGCGGCAAGTGATGTACAAGACATTGCGGGACATAAGCACGATGTGAAAGTTGTGCACAGCCTGTTAACAACTTCACTGCCAGGCCCCGTATTACCATCGCGAAAACCTAGCAGGCTACAGTCATTACAAGAAATTCTTCAAAAATTGGTCTCCAAAGGACGGCATCTCTCCTGATTTCCACCTCTTCCTGCTTTAGACATGCAAGGCAAGAGGGCAGACAGATGACCTTTATCTACAAAAGCTTTGACCACGTTTTATTTGCTAGCTTACAAGAATTGCATTGCAAACTCAAGCACAAGTGGTACACTCGAGCATTTCATCACTCCAGAGTTCTGGGAAGCCCCTAGCTGTTCTCCAGCCCAGACCCCTGGAAAAGTGGTGCTGTACACCAGCCACACACATATAGAGTGTCAAAGCTGGAAAACTGACTTTTCAAATAGAAATCCAATTAATCTGAAATGGCAGGAGCTTAGGAGCAGAGGCCATCCTTTGGAAATAATACAACTCATGTTACAGATCCATCATTCCATTAACAAAGTTGAAGCTTAAGCACTTAAATCATCATCACAGCACAACCCACAGGAGGCAACTGATAAGGTTGGGAAGGGAATAGGCTGAGTTTGGGCAAGCACCACAAGTTAGCAGGTACACAAAGAGTTCTCATCTCAGGGCTATCATCAGGATCCCCAATTCAACCTCTTCAAGATACAAACATCCCTCTCATGACCGCATAACCAGAACTAACAGCTAAAGGCATGAACTTTGCTGCACAACCAGAGATAGTAGAGGCACCAAAGCCTTTTCAAACATCGTTGCTTTAGTCAGGTACAAGCGCGCTTCAGAGATGGAGAGGGACCAGCAAGCAACTCTTCTTCCCAAAGAAAAATCCTCCCAGGAACACCAACAGCCAGGGTAGATATAAAAGCTCTGAGTTTATCATCCGCTTCTGAAGAGCTTCTACGAGCCTCCCGCAGTAGCATCTCATCCAGCACCTCCCAGTCTCCTCACTTTAGGAGAGACAGAAGTACGAAACAGCAACCCAAAAGCACACCTGCCCACCAACACCATCACCAGAAGGCACTGCTGGAAGGTTTTAAGAGCAGCAGAATCCACTAAAAACAACCAAAAGGATAAAAGTTACAAGGAAGGGAAAACACAGCTGAAAAGGCTCCGTAAGGCACCAAGTGAAGGTCTCACCCTGGTTCCTCTCATTGAACCCCAGCACAGGAGATGCGATGGGAGCCCATAGGTTCAGGCTGCTCACCATAAAAGCAGTCAAAAGAAGCACAAAGAGAAGAAATCCAACACGATTTTCAAAAAAAGCCATTCCTAAATGCAGTCGAACTGCACAAGGCACAACCTACAAGCCTAAAATCATTCCCTCTTCTCCATGAACATCATCAGCAGATGCACAAAAGCCCACGACAGAAAGGAAAACACAACACACAGCCCCCATTCTCCCATTCTCCCCACCACACAGAGACACCTGAGCAGGAACGAGAAACGCAGGAAGAGACCGAAGCACAGCAAGATACGGCTCGAGAGAAACCCCACCGATACCATCTGTCCAGAGATCCTTGCGTGGCTGAGATCACGGACTGAACACTCACTTCTCCCGCCTCCAGAAACAGATTTAACGGAGAGAAGCAAAAAGTCCATACCTGACAATCGCTGTTCCCATGACATCTACAGCTCTGAGGTGGAGAAAGCAGGCTATGAATGATTCAAACCTCCGCTGGTTAGCGTTACATACAGAAATGAAAACAGGAAGCAAGACAACATACATTAATTATTCAAACTCAGCAACGTGCACCAGAAGGGGGGAAAAGAATAAAATACAAGACACAAACCCACGTAAGCTATCAACCTTGACTTTCACAATGCATCATCTGCCAATGGCTACAAACTTCTCAGAGCTGAATAACTGAGTTTGCCAGCCAGCTTGCCCAAAAAGGGGGAGCGGGGAAGAGTCCATCTGCAAATACAGCAGGAGCATTTTCTGAAGGCTCCAGGATGCCTAATTAGCACACAGTGCATTCCTGAGATACTGGGACTGTAGGTATCTGTTACAGCTGGTGACACATTATTCCTTTCCAAACTGCTTTAAACAAAAAAAAGAAAAAAGCAAAAGAGAATTCAAGCAGCAAATTTAAAAAGGAAGCTCTCTGGGGAGATCTGGCCTAAAAATTTGGATTTTTGCCTGAGTTAACTCCTCCATCCCTGTAGCCTTAGAGCAATACTCGGAAGCCTGGAGCGGAGACGGAACAGAGCAATCGGGACCAATTGTTAAATCATCTCAATGTAATCATTTTAGCAAAGGGAAGAGCAACACCACCATCCTGAAGTGCACTGGGTGAATAATGTGAA